AAGGAAACAGATTATTTTGAAGCCTTTTTTCTATTATAATAAACATATTTATATATAAATTTTCTTCTAGTAAGTACTTTTAGCTGCTTCCCATAATTTCAGAAATGCTTTATATATCCATTATTATTTATTTAAAATAATTTCTAATTCTCGTGATTTCTTTTTTTAAATTTAATTTCCAAGTATTTGTATGTTAGTTGTTTGATTTCCAAATATGTAGTCTTTCTCAATAAATCATATATTTATTGTGTTCTACACTGAATATCATATTTTCTGAGAATGTAGTCATTAAGATGCCAAACTCTAGAAGTTTATTGACACTTATTTGTGGCACAGTGCATGGTCTTTTGGTAAATGATTATGTGTACCTGAGATAGTTTGTCCTAACATTTTTTACTTCTGCACACATAGATCGATCCAATTTATGATTATGGATTCTTGCATTTCATTTTTTTTTTACTATTTCTCCATGTATTTGAAGTACTGTAATTAGGTGCAGTCACATTACAAAATTTTTATATCTTTACATTTTATATTTTATAAGTAGACATTTTAATAATTATGAAGATGTCTACTTAATCTCAGGTGAAACTTTTGGTCATAAAATCAACTTTGTCTCCAATTAATAAAGCTACAACAGCTTTCTTATGCTTACTCTGCATTTATATGTTTTTACTTTTTTTACTTTCAACCTATTGGTATCTTCATTTAATAGTAGATTGCTGTATAACTAAAAAGAATCAATAAAAAGTGAGTTTCTGCTAATAAAAAAATAGTAGATCACTTATAAATAATTATATAGATGTGTGTTTTTGTCTTGGCAATTGCACTTTTTAAGTTGTTTAGTCCATGTATACAACATAGTTACCATTATGGATAGGTTTTGCTACGTGTTTTTTTCCTCAGAAACTTCTTAGCCTACATTTTTTCCTGTTGTCTTTTGTGTTATACACAACTATTTTTCACTATTCCACTTTATTTCTTCTGTCATCTTTTTAGCTATAACCTTGTGTATTATCTTTTTATAAGTTCATGCTTTAGTGATTGCAATACATACATTCTAAAATTATCACTATCTTATCAGAGTTAACTAATATGATACTTCACATACAGTTAGGAGAACTGCAATAGCATAGTTCAATCTATGCCTCTCTTTTGGGCTTTTATTTTCCTTTATTGCTTGTAAGCCCCACAGTACAATGTTGTAATTTTTGTTTCAATTCGTGTTTTAAAAAAATAAATGAAGAAAAAAGAATTTTACAAATATATGCACACATATACACACACACACACATATATATACATATATACATACATATGCTGACACACATCACAGTCTACAGTTGAAATGCATGTGTATATTTATATACATATACACATATTTATATATGTGTATACATATACACACACATATATACATTCACACACACATGAACATATATATACATGTGCCATTTATAATAACCTTCAATTCTACCCTGTCAATTTGCCCTTTTCCTGAGTAACTTCTTCTACAGAACTACTAGTTATAAATTATCTTTTAAGATATTTTACTTAAAGATATCTGAAAATGTCTTTATTTCCATAATAGTTATAGAAATGGGTTTTTTTAAGAACTTTAATGTAGTACCTTTTCTGAATTGTTTTTTTATGAGAATGTAATCATCCTTTGTATATTTGTTCTTCTATATATAATGCATCTTTAATTCACTAGCTGATTTCAAGATGTTCTTTTTTATATTTCTCTTTCAACGGTTTTAACATGTATTAAAAAAAAAAAAAACCTTGGCCTGTAGAGCAGATCTGGCCTATAGCCTATTGGTGTATGGTCTGCAAGCAAATAATTTACATTTATAAATGTTTGTTGGTATAAGAGGAAGGATGAGTAAAAGGATGATGGGAAGAAGAGGAGAAACAAAGAGCTTAAATGGCTTACAAAATCTACATATTGTTATCTGTCTCCTTATAGCAAAAATTTTTCAATCTTAGACGGGGATGTGTTCATGTTTGGATTTCTTTGTACTTATCTTGCTTGGTTTACTGAGCTTATTGAAATTAAAAAATTTATTTTACTTTTTAAATTATTTCCCATTTAGTACATTTTAGGCCATTAGTTCTTTAAAAGATAAAGACTCATTCTTTCTCCTTTACTTCTAGGACTCCATCTATATACATTTAGCTTACTTGGTTATATCCTATAGGTCACTGATGCTAATTTCTTAAAAATATATCTTTTCCTATTCTCTAGATTTGATAATTTAATATATCTGATGTTATGCCATTAAATTGCCACTTTTCTTTCTGCCATTAATAACTGAAATTAAGTATATCCAGTGAATTTTAAAACTGAGACATTTGATTTTCAGTTATCTGGAGTTCTCAAGTTTCTTACAGTTTCTATTTCTCTACTAAAAATACTCGATGCATTCACTCATTGTGAATGTCATTTATTTTATGTTGGATATATTTGCGGTACCTGTATTGACTTCTTTGTATGTCAATTTAAACACCTGAGTCACCTCAAGGTTTACTTTTATTGACTTCTTTTTCTTAAGCAATGATCACATTTTTCTTTGTTTCTTTTTAGAACTAATAATTTTATTTTCATAGGACATTTTGGATAACACACTGTAAAGACCCTAGATTTTGTTACCTTCCTCTGAAGATTTTCAGTTGTATCCTAGTTGGTAGTCAGTGCATCAAATAACACCTGGAAATTGTAAGGCTTGTTTTTACCCTTTGTTTGGTCAGTTTGATGGAATCTCAAGGTGTTCATCTAACCATGTTGATTTAAACTCCAACTTCTGATTATTTTATGATATGCTGCACCTGAAAATTGCTCAGGTGATTCAGCTTTCTGGTCATTGCTTTTTACTGAATTCCTTGGCATTTTCTTGAAGCATCTTTAATAATGGATTAGTTAAGCATTTGTGGGATAAAGATATATAGATTTTGGTTCTGTCTCTCTGTTAATATGGATCTTCTTCAGTACAATTTTTTCCCCTTAAAACATCAAATTATTCCAGTTTCTGCCTGTTTTTAATTGTTCTTACACATCCTCAAGATTCAAGCTTGTCCTCTGATTATGGGTTGCCCCATGTAAGACACTGCCATAATTGTAACTACAAGGTTGATCAAATTTTTATTAAAAGTCAAGTCATGAATCTGCCCCTAGCGTTTGGTACTTTGATAATTATAAAAATACTTATGCTAAACTAAATTTTTAAAAAACACATATTTTGCAAGCACTTAATATTTGGGTAGAAATAAAATTTTATGTATTGAAACTTACAAAGTAAAGTAATTTATTTCTATGATCATCTTAAAATTGTCTTAAATTTGATTTTAGATTTATTGACTAAACAATGTACATTTATTTATATATTCATATATTTTGTATATGAAATACATATAAAATAATATTTACTTAAAGAGCCATTTATTAATCAAAATTATTACTTTAATAAAATTAAAAATCAAGGTAGATATGTTTATAGAATCTCATAAATTAGAAGTTTTGCTGAACAATCTGATTCACTTATATTCTTCCAATTATCACAAGACATGATAATGAATTAAAAGGGCTTAGTTTACTAAAGCTCATCATTAAGATCATAAATCATATTTATGAGTCTAAATTTTATTCAATAGAATTTTTTTGTAATATGTTACTGAGGGTGTGCTTTGTTTTGTTTTGTTTTAGTGCCCTGATAGTTCTTCTGGATAGAAAGCCCTCTTTCAAATTATTTACTCATGTATTCATATATCCAACTCCACTTTAAATGTCCCTTTTTTTTTGGAAAATATTATTTAAGTTTATTGTGTTATAGGGGTATCCTTCTTCTTTTTCTTAATAAGGTTCTGTTTGTTTGTCGTTTTTATCACTGTGTATATTTTCTTCAACCCGAGTCTTTCACATTTGTAACCCCTGTAAGCTCATTACAGGTAGAGACCATGACTCTTATATTAGCTATGTAGTTCTTACTTCAAAATGGGAAAAGAATGAATGAGTCTAAAGCAAATGATGATTTCGGAACTGCTCTGTGATCTTAACTGATTCATATTCAATCACATGAGTAAGCAACTGCGATTTTAACATTCTGATTTATATTAGCAAATGAGTTTTCACTAATAAATTAAGTTTAATTATAAATATATATGAAAGGCATATTTTATTGGTGGAAAATGTTTACACATATTTGGTAGCATTTCAGTATTTTCTGGACAACTAATTTAGGTATTTTTATTCTTTTCCTATTCCGTCTGGAAAACAAATGTTTCATATATAGTATATGAATGTAGTCTAGGTTTGTTTCATTAAAATATTCTAACAGGAAAAGTTAGTAGTTACATTAATCATTTAATACATGCCAGATTCTTATGAGATTTTTATATATTATTCCTTTTAATTTTGATTTATGTAACATCACTGTAGTTGTTTTTATTACCCTTATATTAGAAGAAAGTAAATAAATCACACACAGCTTCACAGCCAGTAAGTGGTCACACTGGGATATAATCTGAAGTTTTCCTAATGACCCAGGTCACATTGTTTCCTCTCAGGTTACGCAACCTAACAGCCAGGAAGGCCTCATTATAAAATATATATTAGAATATTCCCAATAAATATCATTGTTATTTTTCTCTGTTATGTTGACAATACTGTGGTGATAAAAGAGGTGCATCCTTAAATGCATAGTTTTTAAAGTCTCTTTATCAGGGATTTTCTCTACAAAATTCAACAAAGGATTAAAAGAGATGATATTTAACTGCTGAATGTAGGTAACAAGTAAGTTTATTGTAATCTTCTTCTCTATGGATAGAGTTAGAAGAACTTGATTTTAGAAATAGCATGTGTACTAAAGTTCATTTCTTGTAACTTTTCTCAAAATAATTTATTTTGTATTATTAAAACCAATTTGTCCTTAAAAGTGGCTGAAATGAAAAATATTGGGTGTTTTTATTACATGTGATGAAAAATATTTTAATATTTTTATTAGGTATCACCAAATGATCCAAGACCATGCCAGCCTTGTCATTGTGATCCCATGGGTTCCCTGACTGAAGTCTGTGTCAAGGATGAGAAATACGCTCGCCGAGGTGAGAGCCGCAGAGAGCCCCTGCCCTTAGGAAGTCACAGGGAAGGCCAGCCTCCAGCATTTTCAGAACAACTCACAGTGAATTCCACTCACATGATGCACATCCTTCAATTTATCAATGTGCCAGTTTTTCCCTGCAGGGACCAGATTTTGTTGTGTCGGAAATTAGTTTTATGTGAAATTATAATCTCTTAAAAGCAAGAAGAGTTTAGTCATTTGTTTATATATTTATTATATATGGACAAATACACATACACACAGATATAGACACACTTGCAGAGTTATGTGTCTCTTAAAAATGGCACAAATTTTGAGAAACTTGTCATTAGGTGATTTTGTTGTTGTATAAATGTCCTAGAATGTCCTTGTACAAACTAAAACTTTACCAGGCAATATAATGCTATGAAACCACGACGTCAATAGTATATGTGGTCTTTCCTTGACCAAAATGACATGCAGTGCATGACTCTTTGTGTGTGTGACTGTGTGAATGTGTGTGTGTATGTGTACACGTGTAGAGAAACAGGGAGAGACTGTGACTCAATCACAAGTCTGTGATGTCTCTACATTATTTTGTGTGTCTCATTATTTATTAGACAGTTTTGTAGCCTCTGTGGCTGCTAGTGTAAAATGGCAGCATTCACTGAAGGGTGTGTATGCTACAATGGAGAGAAAACAGGGAAGAGCATATAGTGAAATGGAAGCAATAATACGGAAAGCAAGAAGTGTACATAAAGAGCTATAAAAGATAGTAGTCATGAGTTAAAGGCAAAGAGGCTGATGTTCACTTAAGCCAAATACTTTGGGAAATAAAATCCACAATGAACTCCAAACATCAAGGAATCAAATCCCAACCTAACTTCTTAGTATAAAACGCTTGGGAGCTAGTTCTAGGGCAGTCATTTGCCAAGTGTAAGTAGGAAATTCATAAAATGTATCTGGAGCCATTTCTTTATATCTCAAAGAGTGAATTCTTGTCTTCTTTGGAAAGACTAACATAAATCATGGCTACAATATAGGGGTTTTTTCCCCTCTAATGACTTTAGAGTAGAAAGACTGGCAGTGTTTCTCTGGTATAGTTCAACCTACCTGCTTTCTTTATAAAACTGCAGACTTGCTTAGCAATTTGAGCATTATATGCAGTCTTAAATCTTCAAAGATTAAAAGCTAATGTGTTTTAATATTTTAATAATGATTACTGAGGTCACTTTTCATTTTAAAACCCCTTTCCTTTTTCTTTTCTTTTTTTTCAGTAACAACAAAATCACAATGTTATTTTCAGCAATATCATTTATCTTCTGTCTCCTTTTAATAAGTATATCATTGTTGAAAAAGTTATGTAAAATGTAAGAAAATAACTACAATGCAGTGGTAATTCAGCAGAGATACTACTATTAACATTTTGCATGGTTTTGTCATAATGTATAGAGATTTTTTATAATGCTTCTTTTTACTTTACATATGAGTTTTCTTATTATCACCAAAACCTTCTCTAAAATCTGTTTTCAGCACCTAAATAATACATTAGAATATGGTTATACCACAATTACCCACTGAATTTAATGTAGACATTATTATTTCCAATTTTTGTGTATTATAACCAATTATTTAATGAATACCATTGTATATAACTATTTTTCAATTGAAAGAATATGTGGTGCATGATTTAAAAGGAAGGGAATAAAATAACAGGCAATAGTATCCTTGTTGATCTCCTTACCTCCAGTCTTCTTTCCAAATTTAACTATATTGAGTTTTTTCTTCTATTCAGTTTCTATAAATTACTTCCAGTATCTAAACAATATTCATTCAAGCATTCTGTCAATATAACATATTGCATATTGATTCCATATTGAAATGCAATGCAATGTGTTATTCATACCACCTACCTTTTATCCATTATCCTTACCTTTTTAATATATATTTCTTCTAAATATCTTCATTATGATAAATAGAAAGCTTAAATATTTTATAACCTTTTAAATTTTGACTCTATCTTGAGGTCCTACAATGACAGATCAGAAAAGTATCATCCTTACACTGTGCCTTGCCAGGTGTGGCAATTACATACTTATCTTTTCAAAGATTTTACCAAGTTATATTTGTGGCTTTAGATTAGTAATTAATTATTATAATTTAAAAGTATAAGCATAATCAAGATTGGCATTATTATCATTATTGGCATTAATATCAGATGCATATTATTCAATACAGAGCCGAGTTGTAAAATTGGCCACACTCTTGTAATACACTTTACCTTCAGGCTTCGTCTGATTTCATAATCTCTTTAGGAAAGAGTCCAAGATGTAGTCTAATGGTTTGAACTACTTTTATCAAATTGTGTCACTAAGCAGTAAAAGAAAATATATTCCCCTGCCTTTTTGGCATTAATTTGATTACTAATAACATATAAATGTTTCTTTTGTGAATTATCTGTTTTCTTTGTTTTCTGCCAGTGTAAGGTAGTCTTAAGATTTTTAAAAGCCCTTTAAATATTAAAAATAATAATAGGTTCTATCTGTTATAAACAATTTCTGTGTCTCACTGGTGTTTACAAGAATTTCTAACATATATTACTTAAATAATTTTTATATAATCAGCTCTCAGAATTCAGATAATTGTCTTTAGCTATAATCCTGGCACTATGTGAGATTATTATATTATAATAATATGTCCTATTTGTTATAAAAAATATCTGTGTCTCACTGGTGTTCATAAGAATTTCTAACATACAGTACTTAAATAATCTTTATATAATCAGCTCTCAGAGTTCAGATAATCGTCTTTAGCTATAATAATGACACTATGTGAGATTATTATATTTTAAATGTTTTTCTAAACTGAGTTTCTTCCTACCCTTTATAATCTTAGAGATATTGTATCCCCAAATTAGATGAATGTATTTATTTCCTTCGTTTATGATTTCCTTTTATAATACCTAATTGATTAATCTATCCGCAAATGATTTTGGTAATTTTATAAGGAAAGTTTCCATCTATATTTTGTTTCTGAATGATTTCTTTTGTTTCACTGATATTAATACTATCTCTTGAAACATATTAAATATGATTACTTCATATTCTGTATATATTAGTAGTGCCATTGTTACCTGAGTCTGATTTTGCAGTTTGCTTTTTCTACTCACTGCTAATCATTGGAGTTTCATTTTCTAAAATGTTTTATAAGTATGTGTTGTATGTGTGTGTTGGTGTTGTGATATATGTATGTTCATGCTTGTGTGGGGTTGTCCTTTCAGAAGCTTTGAATTTGTATGAGATTCTCTGATATGACTTCTTAACTTATATAGGACCTAGGATTTTTATTATTGTTATTGTTGCTTTCTTCCTCCCCTCTTTTTTTTTTTGCATGCACTATATTTTATTAATTTGCTCTTAACTTTTCTGAATTTTGAAGGTCTATTACCTGTATATATTTGTTTGGCACTTTTTATATTTTTCTAACCAAAGACATGAAGGAAAGGCAATATCACTGATGGTATTACTGAAAAAGATTCTAAGAGCATTCGTGGAGATAAAATTTATATTTTATTTTTCTCTGTATATAAAAAAAGAATTTTAAGCTGCATTTATATCCCTCTTCTACTTATTTGTATGTCCAAAATATCTATTTCCATGAATACTTTCAGTCTTTTCTTCAGTAACATGACTGTGACATTGTCTTTAGACCATCACTCCTGAATTGTTGTCTTAAGTACCATATCTTCATTCTCAAGGCCTTTGCCCATCTTGTGTTAGTGTGATGGGTATGTTTTTTGATCTATCAAGATGCACAAGTTAATACTTATTCTTCCCAGTATAGTCTCATTACCTAAGATTATGTGGAAATTGCTATTTTCTAATTATTGTTATAATTTTACTACAGCCTTGGTGGATGGTTTATGTAGTAGTTTGAAAGTTCATCTATCTTTTTTCATCCTGAATCTCTTGAAAGATATTTTTAGAAGTTGCAGATTATCATAAATGTAGCAAACTTCCTTTTGAATTTGGTACCCAATAGCTATAACTATTGATGGACAGCAAGAATCTAATGTTTGTGTCAAAATCAGCTTCTAAAGATTACTATAAGAAAGCTTTGAGAACCAAATTATGTATTTGTTTTTAAAATATGTGGTGCCTCTTTCCTTAGGTCTGGCACCTGGATCCTGTCATTGCAAAACTGGCTTTGGAGGAGTGAGCTGTGATCGGTGTGCCAGGGGCTACATGGGTTACCCAGACTGCAAACCCTGTAACTGCAGTGGTTCAGGGAGCACAAATGAGGATCCTTGTTTTGGTCCCTGCAACTGCAAGGTACATAGATTATTCTAGTAATGTTCCACGGTCAAGACAGAGGTGATTTTCTTTGGCTCCTCTGTTATGTCTGCTGGCATTAAGCAATTATAACAACTTCTCCTAATAATATCCACCATCTATTCTATATGTAGTACTTTTATAAGTGTCCTTAAATGCTTAACAGGTTCACTGCAGCAAGATATTTATAAGTCATCTGTCATTTATCTAAAAACTACAAATATACAGAATATAAGTCACCTTAACAGACTGTGTCATTTTATAACCAAAAGGCTTCCCCCATTGCCCTTATTCTCTGTTAATTGAAAAATACACAGCACTAGATACAGCAATTCTTCAAAATCACAATATATTCAAATCTGTTTCTTCGCATGTAATACTTAAAAAATTCTGTCAAGGGATTCATTCTGGATTTTTAAATAATCCTCTGAATTTTGAACCTAGATAGGTCTTAATATTCTCACCATATTCAACTGTTCGGTTTAATTACCAAAAGTATAAGAAGACCTAGTGGAATTGATTAAAGACTCAATATTTTCTCCTAAGACTACTTTTAGAAATGAAATTTTATTTATTGTACATGCTCAACTAATAGCTCATCATGTACACTCAGAGGGATGCATTACACCTGCAGCTTACACACATAGAAGGAACAGTGTGGCATGCTCAAATCTAAAATAAGACATATTTACATTATCTATTATAATCAGCTCCATAATGTTCTGATCAGTGTATAGCTACAGTAACTAAGAGAGTGAACAATTTTTTGAAAAAATTAGTATGCCATAATGATACAAAAATAAAAATTACTACTTTTTTCATTTTTTTAAAATCATAGATGGAGGCGCCTTACTAGTTTATTAGTCTTTTCTAGAAAGTTTTTATTACGTGATTATGGCTGATAGATGTATATCCTTGTATGTGTGAATACCAACATTAAGCCATGACAACATTATAAGAAGTAGACAGTGAGTTGTTGAAAATATTAGTTTTAATATTAATATTAGTAGCAAATATTCATTTAATGCTAAATATATATATATTGAAAAAAGCACATCTAAAATATAAAGCTAAAAATTATAATGGTTGCGTAGAATGCATCTATTTTATCAGGGGCTATTTAGTTGCCAATCTTGGGCTATTGAACTTGGAACACTTGGCCAACTTGCTGTCTACAAAAGGAAGCAGAAGTCCATGAGGCCATGGTAAAAAGTTGTCATGTACTGGAAGATAGTAAATTTTCTAGATTCAATACATTTTACTCCAATTTTATCTAAAATGAAAAATTGCTCTCATAGACCAAGGTTGGATAGCAGTCTATGAGTGATTACTTGCTTAAGGACATTTCCCCTGTCCATCCTGAATGCTTTTTTGGGGGGGGCAGGGCGGGGGCGAGGGTTGCAATTTTATAGGCTTTTAGTGCTTCTTCGCTGATATGTACTGAAATGAATTTTGTGTGTGCTTTATTTTCTTTTCCCCAAACTCCATAGAAATCTCTAACCTTTACCACTTGCGCAAATAAATGACAGGTAAGGCTAGGCTTAAAATGGAAGAGAAATGTCCTGAATCTATAGAATATAGGAAGCATTTCCTACACCTACCATTTATAGACTGATGGTTTGATGGTGTGCTCAAGGAAAGAATCACAAAAGTGAGGGAGGTAGACCTCATTTTGTTAATTTTCCTTGGGAAATACACTCAGAAAGGCTAGAATAAGGAAGCTGTATTGTTTGCAGAGCTCCCAAGGAAAGCTTCTTGAGCTCCATGTGCCAGCTCTCTGCCTGACTTAATGTTGTACTGAGAAGTGATTACCATCCTAATAAGAAAAATGCCTCCCACGAAGACACTTGAAGCTCTGTGCAGACAATTAAAATGCACAATAAATAGCAATTAAGAAATCATAAAAGAGATTGAAAAATTAAGTAAATAGCATCATTAAAAGAAATGTCTTTCAGCCAGATGATATTTTAAATAGTAGACTCTCTGTTCTTAAAAACAATTTGGGGGAAATAAAAACATGTAGAAAACAAGTTTCACAAAATATCTACATAAAGATCACAGACTATTTGTTCTAGCAGTTCAGATCACAAATATATATCACAATAATTATACCACAATATATTATAATGAATTCTATCACAACATACTGTAATTGAGACCCTATTGCTTCTTCTTTACAAGAATAATAAAAGCTAAATATTTCAGCCAACCACACATACAATTTCAATACTGAAAGAAATATGTACTAATGTAGAGAGAAAAGTGATATTTCCTTCTGTTTCATGAAAACATGGTTTGTCACAGTGTGTCAACTGATCATTAAAGCAGCATGGACCAAAAAGCTATTTAAGAAGCAAAATATTTGAGACATAAATTCATATAAATTATAGATTTTTGACTGAATAGGAAGAATATGTGTGTATTCATGTGCATATACTATTGATATCAAATTTAGTAATATTAAATAAGTATTTACTTATAAATAGAATAAAAATTACATGTAAAATAATCTATATAAGTATCATCTTCAACATGAACATTAACTATTAAGCACATGCATACCTATTTCCTTATACTATAAGATAATGAGAATTTTTTTGTAATTTCATTAGAAAGAAATATCTCAAGTATGAAGATGTTTTATTGAAATGCTTCTTTATGAAGTCTTGAGACTAAATTTTTTTTTCTAGTCTTAATTTTAAATGACTGATACTTTAAATGCCACACTGAGTTTATGTGGATGACACCTTTCACATTTCTGCTATTTTAAACACCTAGATATGCTCCATAACATAGCAAATGGATTTTAAAACACTTTGATTCATTAAAGAAAGGGAATTTTTTCTAGGCATCAGACCAAGGAAGAAAATTGAAGTTGAGCAAAAATTCAAGCAAAACTCAACACTGAGTGAAGTAGTAGGTGTGAGGCTAGTCTTGGTTATAAGATGGTAACTAAAGTTTGGGTCTTTAATACAAAGGACTGGACAGTAAGATTGAGGGAAAATGCAGCTGATTAAACTTAAGGAAGTATACTGCTAATGATCTCTGAAACTGAAAAGGGGTCTAGAAAACTCTTCCTGCAAACCCAGACAGGCAGTTTTTCTTTGGGATTGTGGGTAGTGAAAAATTAGTGCCTATCTCCAAACCGGAGTGCCACAGGGGAATGGAGTCAATCTTATTCTCCCTTGTATGTCTGAATTCTCCAATAAATCAAGCAAATGGTTTTCCCATAGGAAAAAGAAACAGAACTACAACTAAAAATAAGTTCACTATAGAGCAGCACAGTGCACAAGAGAAAAATAACTACAAAAGGAAATTGGTAGCCATGAATATGAGAATATTTGTACACTAAAAACTAGAAAGCATAGTGTGAAACAAATCATATAATCATAAAACATGTAATCCCTTTTGTCTCATAAATCATAAAACTAAAACTATGTTAAAATGTACCATCATTAAAATATGATCTGAAGATTAAAGAATAAAAAATAAGAACTAGAAAAATTATATAAAGTAGGGTCCTATGTTAAAATACAAGAATAACCTGGTTTAGAAAAGAAAATTTAAAATATATATAGTCATTAGAAATAAAAAAAATCAGTCAGTAGATATTTTAGTCAGCCTTTCAGACTAAAATATCCATAAGAAAAACTTAGAGAAGAAAACATTTATTTTGGCTCAAAATTTATTTTGGTATCAGAGGGTCAGGTGATGGTGGGTGAACTCCATGCTCTGGGCCCAAGGTGAGGCAGAACATCATGGCAGATGGGTGTGATGGAGGGATGCTGGGATGTTCTTGGCAGCCAGCAAGCAGAGAGAGAGAGCAGAGTGGGGAACAGGACACAGTGGAGGTGAACCCTTCCAGGGAAGGCACCAGTCATCTACCCCCTTCCAGCCACAGCCCACCCGCCTACCAAGTACCACCCTGTCAGTCCATTCAAATTAGGTTAAACTGATTCTGTTACAACTCTCACAATCCAATCATTTTACTTCTGAACATTCCTGCATTAACCTAGGAGCTATTGGGTGATACTCTATATCCAAACTATAACAGTGATTTAAACAAGAGATTAGGTACTACTAGATAGTGAGTAGAAAATACAGTCTAGAGGAAATTGCCTACCAAGTGGCATAGGAAGGTAAAGAAATGATTGAAATAAAAGAAAAGATGAAGTTCAACCTAATTTTGGCAGGGATTTTCACAGAAAAGAGCAGATGATATTGGGTAGAAACAATATTCACTTTAGCAGGGATTTTCAGAGAAAAGAGCAGATGATATTAGGTAGAAACAATATTCACGAAACAGTATTCAAGGAATAGCAAAGGATAAAAGAGTAATCAACAAAGAAACCATACATCCTTAATTTAATGAAATTAAACAAAACAACCCACCAGCAAGGCCCATAGAGAAACCTAATTACCAGCAAGAAAAAGAGAAAAATACTAAAATTAGAGATGAATATGGTAATTTGTGAATATTCACCACTAATCTGTCTTCATAGAAAGAAATACTAAATAATGTATGTGCTTTAGTAAGAAGAGTATTAAACACAAAGGTTTTTACTACATTGCAGGATACACGAATCAGCCTATAAAAAACTGTAGCATTTTCTACACAATAATAACAATAGTTATAATAGCAACATAAGCTTTGTGATACCTAGAAATGTTTTAAAAATAAGAGTAATTTTTAAAAATTATTGAAGAATATAACCTAAAATATAAATGTGGAGATAGCTGATAATACTCAAACACCAGTGAAAATCTGGGGAAATAGAAATGTTTACCATTGCTAATACTAAGGTATATTACTAGCATAATTTAAGAAAACAATATGACATTATCTAGTATCTTTGAGATGACAAAACCCTGTCATCCAGGACTCCACATTTAAACATTTACCCTTAATGAAATTCTTAACTATATGTTTAAATAAGTATATAAATGATGTTGAACATAAACCTATTTGCTATAACAAAAAGAAAAAAATCTAAATATCC